GGGGGGGGAGTCCAACAACAGAAGGATCAGTGGTATGAGTGCTGATGAGAGTTGGGCAAGAGGGTTGTTTAGAAAAAGGAAAAGCATCTTCATTGAAGACAACATACCGGGAAATAAAAATGTGGCTAGAGGGTACATGGATGCACTTGTAACCATGATGGGCTCTACTATACCCAAAAAAAAAAACATGATTTGGAGCGGTAAGCAAACTTGTGATTATTGTAGTCCTGTAGACACGGGAAACATTCACATTCGAAGACTTTCAACCATGACAGATCAGGTTTGGAGTGAAAGAGGGCTTCCCATGGTGAGCGGTATCTTAACACAGGTGTGGGTAAGCAGTTCAAAAGATAGGTGGCGGTGTCAAAGGCATCCCACTAGCAGGTTAAAGGGGCAGAAGCGTGGGCCAGAAGCGTGAGGCCCATGTACGTTCAACAGTGCCGTTTTGTGCAGATGTGTGTGTATAGGTCAACCTATGAACAATTCCATATTGGATAAGAAATGGCTTAAAACTACGAAATTCTCCACCACCATCAGTTTGGAGAGCCTTGATGGATGAATTTAAAAGTTTCTCAATCATAGTTTTAAAATTAACAAAAGCATCAAATGGATCAGATTTCACATGCAACAAATAGATCAAGTGAACTTAGTAAAGTCATCAACAAATGAAATGTAATACTTAAAACCATGAGAAGAAACCGGGGCTAGTTCCCATAAGTATGCAAAAATTAATGAAAGAGGTTCAGAAGAAGAATGTTTCCTAGAAGCAAAAGGCAATTTATGACTCCTGCCCAATTGGTAAGATGAACAAAAGGCCAAGGATTTATTCGAGGAGAGAGGCAGCTGATTGGTGAAGATGACATGGCGCACAGTGGGCTAGGATGCCCAAGTTTGTAGTGCCACATGTCAACATTGCAATGTTCACCTACAAAAGCAAAATTAGAACTGAGTTGAGGAGGTACTGGGGTCTAGCTAATAAAGACCATTCTTATTCCACCCATGGAGTAAAATCTTCTTGGACTGGCAATCCTTAACAACAAAAAGTTAGCATGGAATTCAAGAAAGACATCATTATCATGGCAAAATTGCCAAACTGAGAGTAAATTTTTGGTAATTAAAGGAACATGAAGAACATTTTTCAAAACCAAGGGATGAGTGGGGTTGGGAATGAATGTAGAACTAGTATGGTGGATTGACAAACCTATCCCATTACCCATTTTGATCTAATCAGTACCCGTATACTCGGAAAATGTAGTTTTGAGTTCTTCAAATCGGCAGTAAGATGATTTGTAGCTTCGGAGTCTAGATACCACAGAGAATGATCGATAGAGGAGTCGGAGGATGCTATATAGGCTGATTTAGGTCCTCCTTTATTCTCATAATGAAAGTAGCAATTTACTGAATGTGAATTTTGCACTTGCAAATTTGACATGGGGTTGAGGGTCATTGGGGGCCTAAAGGATAGCCATTATTAGGACCATTGGACCCTTTTTTGAATAATTTTCTTGACCATGTTTCCTTGTAGGGTTGGGTTGTTCATATTGAAAGGACTGATTTGGAAAGGCACGAGACTTATTGTTATTGTTGTTGTTGGGCCCATGAAAGACTGTATTGACACTAAATAGACCATATTTGCATCCAAGGTGGATTCAAAGATTAAGATCAAATGCCTTGTATAGTTGGGTTCCTAGGTCTATTGACACTAAATAGACCATGTTTCCTTCCGGAGTTCATGATTTAACAACATTCCATTGAGTTCCTAGGTGGATAATTCAGAGTGTTTACTGATGTGACAAATGCCTTATATAGTTGGGTCCTAAGCCCATCAATATTCGAAGATTAAGATCAAATTCAGATATAGGAGAACCAACAAGAAGGTTGTCAGCCAATAATTTGGCCTTTTGAGATGTAACTCAACATGCGGTGATTTAGAGGCAAAGTGTTTTTCCAATGATTTTCACAGCATTACTGAAAAGGTGCACTTAATTATTTGGTTGAGTTCAGCTTCTCTTAATATTGAGAGAAACCGGCTTAGCAAAAGGGCATCTTGTTCCATGCGATAAATGCTGGGTTGAGTGTCGTTGGAGCTTATCACTGGCCCTTCACTATTGGTGGTAAYAATGAGGTATTTGGTTGGGCATGAGCTTGACCCATCTACATATCCAAGTAATCCGATCCCTTTGAGAACTTGAAAGACTTAAAAGTGCCAATGTAAATAGTTGTTTCTATCTAACTTCATTGTGACGAAATGAGTGAGGTTTACATTGGATAGCCTTAGGCATTGATTTTGGGTAGTGGTGGCGGTGGCTGGATGGAGGTTTGTCTCTGATACCATACCATACCATAACACACAAGTTTTGGAAAAATCTCACACACTAACTTCGGTGAGTGAGGGCTATATTTAAAATAGTAGAATCAGAGTTAAATTACAAACAAATTATGGGAGTATAAGATAACAAGGGAGAGAGATAAAGATGAAAAAAATAAAATATATCCTTACAACTAAGGTGCACGTGGAGTGCTGGAAGACTAAATCGTTATCAAGCCTGCAGAAAATTCAGGACCTGCTGCTGGTTCTGTTTCCAACCTCTCCCCATGGCTGTTCACGGTTGGAATCAGAGCCAGCACCATTGATTTATCGGGCGTTCCCTTCTCGATAAGGTTGTTGTTGCATCCTAACAGTGCGACTGTGTGAGGGGTACAATATTGACATGCCTTAGAAGTGAGAGTGCCAGAGAGAACTGAGAAGGGAAAGCAGGCGGCCTTAGCTAGTTAGCTGGTGCTGCCGGAATGATTCTCGCCATGCAACAATGTCACAAATGGGGACGACGAAATCGTTCCTGATCCTCACCTTCATTACATCTCTCTTTAAATTGATATTTTAATTAAAAAATAAAATTACACTGAAGCTAACTAACAATTGATTTGATTAGTAGAATCAATAATAATGCAATGTAATGCATATTTTCTCAAAAAACAACAAAAAATTAYTACATATAACAATATTATGAGGCTCTGGTCCGGATCTAACTAGAGATTATTCCTCATAGGTGGACGTGGACCATCAATCTGAAGTTGATATTTATTTTTAACGCCTCCCACAACTCAATTGGACGTCGAGCCAGCACCATTCATGGCTGCTTTCCCATCCAGGGAACCCAATATCATTACATCGATCAGAGATCCTCAAGATTCYCCCCATTCATGGCTACCTTCACCCAGGCAGCGGGACCTGCAAGTGAGGACGACAACTGCCGGGTTCAATTTAACCCTATCTGGCACATCCATGCCATGTCCCTGTATTTCTGGCATTGCCGGCCTGCTCAGAACACACCACCCACCCAGACTGGACTCCGGAGCCCCTCAGCCATTAGATCCGCCATGGGAGAGAAGACTATTGTATTCGGGGAGCTGACATGGTCTCACGGTCAACATATGTTAAGGCCGCTTAGCTTAGGAGACTCTTATTTATCTTTTCATTTCTACAACTTTTACCCCTGCCATAGTTGAAACTTCTGGTTTTAATTTAGCACAAGCATCTCATAATGCTTCAGAGAAAACCAAGTGATGCCTCTTCATACGTTTCAGTTTTGACAGAGTAGATCTAAATATCTTAGAGCAATTACAGATTCCTGTCTGTTCAGAAATAAAACGGTCAAATAGTTCGTTATTTGATGATGATGACGAATAGCAAGAAATAGAATTTAGCAAAGCAAATCACGAGCTAAGAACGAGAACCAGTAGAAGATAATCACGATTTAATCCATGGAGTTCTAACTAACTATTTAATATTACAAACCAACCGAAACAGAAACTACCTTCAAGGCTTCAACTTGAACAGAAGGAAGTAGGTAGAGGATAAGGAAGGAAGGGGAGGATCAATCGGAAAACTATGGAATGGGCGGGGTTGGAAGCAAACAAAAAACAATCCCACAGACGAGAATTTTGTTTCCGACCCGTCCATTCCGCAGCCTCCCGATAGACGACCAGCTCCCTTTCCCACCTCTCCTTCCGCTCGCTGCTCCGTTGATCTTCCCTACTCTATTCACTTCATCTCTTCCGCTTATATATCCACTTAATTTCCTCATTTGCCGTTGGATTATATTCGATCTGAACTTGTAATGTATCTCAACCGTCCACAACTTTTTAGGTTCAAGTGGTTTCATTCTTCTGTCATGTTTGGACCGAATTGGTACAATAATCTAATAAAATTCCTTCCATGTCCCCAAAACCTAATTCCACGAGTGATCTTTCAAAACACGTTCCAACCCTCTACCAACTTCATCAAACACCGTGCATCTCACCATGAGACCGGAAACACGTTCCAAGAGTTGGAAGAGGTGTCAATTGAACAGATTTGGTCCAAGCCGATCCAGCCCAATGTGAGTCTACTTATAAATGGACCGGACCCAATCTAGTCCAAATCCAATTCAATCCATTAAAATCCAAACCGACTGAAATATCAAAAATTATATAAAAGCACTTTTAGTATTGAAAAAGCACTTTTGTAAAAGTACTTTTTGAAAAGTACTTCTATAGACTTATAAAAATACTTTTGTAAAAGTGTTTTTTGTAAAAGTATTTTTATAAAAGTGCTTTGTAGAAGTGTTTTTATAAAAGTACTTTCGTAGAAGTGTTTTTATAAAAGTGCTTTTGTAAATTTGTACAAGTACTTTTACAAACTTTAKAAAGGTACTCTTGTAAAAGCACTTTTCAAAAGGTACTTCCTTATACTTTTACAAAAGTACTTTTGTAGAAGTGCTTTTGTAAAAGTACTTTCGTAGAAGTATTTTCATAAAAGTACTTTAGTAAAAGTGCTTTCATAAAAGTGATTTTGTAGAAGTGCTTTTATAAAAGTACTACAAAAGTGCTTTCATAAAAGTACTTCTACAAGTGCTTTCATAAAAGTACTTTTGTAAAAGTGTTTTCGTAAAAATACTTTTGTAAAAGTGCTTTTATTAAAGTGGTTTTGTAAAACTGCTTTTATAAAACTACTGCTGTAAAAGTGCTTTCATAAAAGTACTTTTGTAAAAATGCTTCTGTAAAAGTATTTTTATAAGTGCTTCGTAAAAATACTTTTCATAAAAGTACTTTTATAAAAGTGTTTTTATAAAAATATTTTCATAGAAGTACTTTCATTAAAGTGATTTTACGTTGTTTTTCAGTTTTGATTGATTTCAAATTAGACAAGGATTTGTCCTCATGACCGAATTATTGGAAATTTGGTTTAAATCTAATTCAAACCAATAAGAATATGGACCAATTTATTTTAAATTGGCCCAATCCAATAATTATAATGGAACGTCCAAATCCGATTTGATAAGGTTCGAATCAAATTGGATCCAAACGAAAACAGGTCGATTGACCCCCTAGTTGGAACATGTTTTGTTAACATGTGATCGGAACTCTAATTCCAATTCCAATGAGTTACAGCACATCCCAACTGTGTATTGGGAACACTCTCCATGATGTCTCATCATCATCTTCAGTACTTGTCATTGGGAGATATTCCCAATGCATGATTGGGATGTGTTGTGGGGCACCCTTGTGAATTCGATGATTGGATGATAATAGATGGACTAGCCGACTAGGTTTCTTACTCACTTTTCCTACCCACACTCTACCTGTCCTGAATTGCAGCCACACATCTCACAATTCAAAATGGCAATGTGTGGCTACAATTCATGGAGGGTAGAATGTGGGTAGAAAGTAATGGGCAGGAAATCTGGTTTCCATAGGCATAGCATTACAACAGTATTTTCAACTCTCGAATATCAATGATGTCTAGGAGTGGAAATAAATCGAGTCTTTCAAGAGTTATTTGATCTCGGCTTGTAAAAATCTCAAATCGATTCAGTCTAAACCAAGCTTCAAACTGAACTTGAATCCAATATATAGGCTCATTTTGTAATCAAGCGGAGCTGAAGCCTAATATAGTTAGGCTCATAAAGCTCGCAAGACTATATATTATACATATAAAAAATAAGGTGAATGCTTGGGTTTTATAAGGTGAGTGCCTGGGATTGCTTGGGTTTTATAAGGAGAATGCCTGGGCTTGCTAGGGCTTTACAAGATGAGTGCAATGCGATAAACAACATGTAAGTGAAAATGGACTTTCATTAAATAAAAGAAACTTTTATTAAATTCATGTGGCAAATAACAATAAGTACATGTGGAGTTTTTTTTTTTTTTTTTGTTAAACACCAATTATTACATTACCATTCATTGTACAACTTTAACTAGTGCCCTTTCATCATTTCATCTTTTTCGTTTGTTTGGGGGTCTCATAACACATAGTACCCTGTAGGGTGAGCTTCTTTCACAACATAGGGCCCAACCCAATTGGGTGAAAACTTGCCAATAGATTTCCCTTTCCAGACGTACAAAACCGACTTGAGTATCTTGTCACCCTTTTTGAATCTCCATGGCTTTTCCATTTTGTTGAAATTGGAGGCCATGAGCTATTTGTATTTTATCTATTTTGTAGACATTTTCCCACACTTTGTTTATTGTTTCCAATCTATCACAGATCATCTGATCCATCTTATCTATCTTGAATTGTTTCCTCATTACATAAGCCACTTTGGCAGACACCGTTTGTATTTCTGCAGGTAGGACCACTTCTTACTCGTATACAAATGAGTATAGTGTTGCTTGGGTCCCTTTCATGATCAGAATTCAATATGCCCAGAGCATACTAGAGAGTTTGTTTGCCCAATCCTTCTAGTTCTTAGCCACCATTTTTCCTAATATCTTTAATAGGGTCTTGTTGGTTGTCTTTGCCTACCCGTTTCCTTATGGGCAGTAAGTGGTGGATGTTCCTAATCATGCCCCCATATTGACCTAACAAGTTATGTACTTCTTGGTTCTTGATGAATAATTCRTTGTTTGTCGAGATTCTCATAGGCACGTCGAAGCGATGTACAATGTGTTGCCTAAGAAAGTTTGCCACATTTTCTATGACCACCCTTCTTAGGGGGGTCGCCTCAGCCCACTTGGTGAATAATCTATGGCTATGATGATGAAATAGTATCCTCTGGATGTGGGGTTTACTTTTCAAATGAGGTCCACTCCCCATGTGTGGAAGGGCCAAGTTGCTACTACTAGGTGGAGTCCGTTGGTTGGCTGATGGATTCGACAACCATGTATTTGACAAGTATGACACCTTTGTACATGTCTTTGCGTATCTTCTAACATAGTCAGCCAATAAAAGCCGAGGTGTAAGATGTGATTATATAGGCCCATCCATCCTTGATGGGTAGCGGGCTTAGAACCATGGACGACATCTAGAATTTCCTCTATTTTCATCACCTATGATACATTGCAAAGGTTGCCCCATATATGACTTTTTGTACAATAACCCATCTTGCAGATAGAACCTCTTGACTTTGGATAGAAGCATTTTCCTTAGCATAGTTTTTGTGGGCATGGTGCCATCTTTTAGGATACACTTTTTGCAATCATGCTGTAGTCTAATGGCGTGGTTCCATCTTCAGCATAGTCTCCTTTGACACCACTACTGCTTCCTCAAGTTTCAGACACGGTGCTCTTACCCCACCTACCATTTTGAGATAAAGCATTCCATGTACTAGTTGATACCATAGCAAGATCATATTGTCTTGGGTCACAGAGGTCGGATTTTGTAACTTTTATATTATGGTCAGCCTCTAGTCACATTCTTGAACTTGGTCTTTTGTCTTTATCCAATGAACCAACCTGTTTGTCGAGGGCTGACCTTGCATTCTGATGGTTATGATGGGTTCCTCACTTGGCTGAATTTTGGACCCAAGGGTGGCGAATGCATTGGCATATCTATTTTGGCCCTATTTTGGTTCTCGTACGTTACCTCTAGGTCCTTGGTAAGGTTTTGTATCAGGGTTCTATAGGGGAGTATAGATATTTCCTTGACGATTGTATCTCCTCCCATCTAGTCGATTACTATCTTAGAATCCCTTATCACCCGTATTTTTCGAGCCTTTGAATCCCTTGCAATAGTCAATCCTAGCAGAAGTGCTTCGTATTTTTCAATGTTGTAAGAGCAAGGGAATTGAAAGTTTGAAGGAATAGTTTGTGGTCTTTCCTAATGAGGAAGTTAACGTCAGCCCTGCTCCTACCAAAGAATTGGTACAACTATTGTTGAACGTTAGCTCCCATTCGGCGTCTTCTACTACTGCAATGAGGGAAGTTCCTCGGGTATTTCTTCAAATATGTCAAATTCATCATTCGTAGGAAAGGCCATTAAGAGGTCTACTACAACTTGACATTTAGTGGCTTTTGGATAGGTATATTCAATGTTGAACAACGAAGGAAACTAGTGCTAGACACTGGTGCTCCATATGGGAATATTTCCTTTTTGCTGGCTTAAGTATTCTACTGCTGTAACAGATTGGGCACTCTTTCTTTTGGTCGTTTTCTTGAGCTAATAAACATCCTACAACCTCTGAATTGGATGCAATGTAAAGTATAAATCCTTAACCACTTCGTGGGGGTGACATGGTCAGGGCCTTAGCTAGTGCTAACCCTGGGATGAACCTTCTGAGGTATGATACCTTCCCTATAAAGGTTTTTAAGTTGCGATTCATTCTTAGGAGGGGGAAGGTCTAGGGCTTCCATGACTTTGTTTTCATCAGAGTGGATAACGGACTAGTCAACTCTGTCACCAAGGAACTTCCCTGACTGCACTTTGAACGTGCATTTCAAGGGGTTCAATCTCAAGTTGAACTCTCTACATCTCATGAATACCTTCCTAAGGACCTCTATATGGCTATCCTTCTTTCTTGCCTTTACTACTATGTCATGCATGTAGCACTCATTCTCCTTGTGCATCATGTTGTGGAAAATGCTTATCATGGCTCTCTAGTAGGTGGCCTCAACACTGTTTAGCCCAAATGGTATCATCTTGTAATGGAAGTTCCATATAGGGTTCCAAAATGCCATATGAGATGCATCAATAAGGTCTTTAGACACCCCATTTTTGCACTCTTTAGTCTTTCTGCAACACTTTAAGCTTCAAGCATGCTTCAGCTAACCTTTCA